GAGAGAAAACAATTTTCGGCCTTCTCTGCAAAGGAACCAGGCCTCCAGCCAACAAGGGTGCAGGGTGACAATTAGGAGGCATTACCCTTGACTGATACTGCAGAGAGGAAGGCAGGAAATGACCTTGGAAGGGATTTACAGTTCAGGAGCTTACATCCCTGCAGGAGAAAATGCAGCTTACTTCACTAGTAAACTCCTGCTTCAGAGCTCCTAGGAAAGTCTTCAAGCAGAAAGTGTGGATTTGTGTGTGTGTGTGTGTGTGTGTGTGTCTGTGTGTGTGTGTGTGTGTGTGTGTGGAGGAGAGATAGATAAACCAGGGAATAGTCAATGAGGGTGAAATAATTTTGCAGCAGAAAAAGCAAAATAGAACAGGAATTTAAGTTCCTAGTCTGGCCAGAGTCACGAAGTGCCATTATTTTAAAATAAAAATAAAAATCGTAGGATAATAAAAAGTTTGCACAGTTCTTGTTCTGTCCCTTTTTTTCTGACCCAGATGCTTATTCTGAAGGCCAAAGCACAAGCACGGAAGGCCTGGACTACTGCACGATCCACTTAGTGACTGTTCAAAGTTACACCGTCCCCATGGTCAAAATTCAGCCGCTTGACCGCTGACCCTTAATTCTGACGGTCTGCCAATCAAAGTCCATGGGATTCATTTAACAGCCGTGTGACTAACCTAAGAATGGCGGCGATTCACTTAACAACGGTGGCCAGGAGACAGTCAGACAATGAGACCAAAGTCACTTAGGAAATATCTCGCTTAACAACAGAAAAGTTGTGAACACAAGTCAAGGACAACCCCCACAGAGAGAAGCATTAAAAAATGCACGCATGCTGTATTCTGGGTTATTATCTAAATAGCTAATAGTAGACAAAAATAAATAAATGCATATAGAAGACCATAATATGTAATATTAGTAGACAAAAATAAATAAATGAATATAGACATCTATAATACGTAGAAATAAACAACTGTTTGGGCGCAGAGACATACCGGTATCAAAATACATGAACTATGTTGTACCCTTTGTAGAAATTATTGCTATTGGCACGCTACGTAGAATGTGTAGAATGTAACACACAAACGTCGGTGCAATCTGCTTTCATGTATCAATAGGTTTATTTTTAGGAGGAATGAGAAAGAGAGTGTGTCCTTGTGTGTCATTACACACCCACAAACACACGTTTGCTCATGGAAGATCCAAGCTGGATATCACTTACGATTCTGCAAGATTATTGTTATTATTTAAACTCTGCAATCAAAACCAGAAGCGACACTGTATAAAGACGGGCGCACAACGGAGGCAGAACGAACCTTACCTTCATGTGCTTCCTTAAGGAACTGGGATGAGTGTAAGACTTATCGCAAACTTTGCACACGTAAGGCTTGTCCGAGGTATGAACATGCATGTGTTTCTTTCGGTCACTGCTGTTTGCAAAACGCCGATCGCAGCCCTCAAATTCGCACTTGAAGGGTTTCTCGCCTGCAGATGGACAGGAACACAGGGGAAAGATCAGTGGGGAGGGGGGAGGCAACGTGAGATTTTCACATTTTGCTCCTTGCCTGGTGTTTTCATTCTCTCTCTCTCTCTTTCTCTTCCTGATTAATTTTTTCCTTCTATTTTTCCCATTCTGTTTGTTTGTTTTTTTGCAGGAATAGGCTGGAGGGAGGGAAGGAGGGAAGGAAGGAAGGAAGGAAGGAAGAAAGAAAGAAAGAAAGAAAGGGAGAAAGAGAAGAGGAGAGAGGGAGGGAGGAAGGAAAGAAAGGAAGAAAGAAAGAAAGAAAGGGAGAAAGAAAGAAAGAAAGAAAGAAAAGGAGAAAGAGAAGGGGAGAGAGGGAAGGATGAAGGAAAGAAGGAAGGAAGGAAGGAAAAAGGGAGAAAAGAAGGGAGGGAGGGATTAAAGAGAAGAGAGGGGGAGAGAGAAAGAGGAAGGGAGGGAAGGAGGGAGGGAAGGAAGAAAGGAAGGAAGAAAGAAAGAAAGGGAGAAAGAGAAGGGGAGAGAGGGAGGGAGGAAGGAAAGAAGGAAGGAAGGAAAAAGGGAGAAAAGAAGGGAGGGAGGGATTAAAGAGAAGAGAGGGGGAGAGAGAAAGAGGAAGGGAGGGAGGGAGGAAGGAAAAGTGAGAGAAGAGAGGGAGGGAGGTCAAATTGGGGTTGTTGACAATTAAATGGCCATTGTGCCTTTAATCCTGTGTTTATCACATGGACTATTGGAAAAGATTAAGAAACAGACTTTGGATTTATGAACTATAAACAGAAGAGGAGCGGAAATAGCAATGGCCAGGCTTTAATTCTGGAGCGACTCAGTGGAGAATCCCAATAAATGCTAGGGAAAAAAAACATTATTGGCTGCTTCCAATTTAATTGTGTGTGTGCGTGTGTTTGTAGGAACTAAACCCTTCCACCCCCACCCCCCCAAACCAAAAAAAAAGCAGGGAGAGAGGGAAAAAGAATACTGGGAGCAAAAAAAAAAGTATCACTGATTTAATTAGAAGATTTGCCAATCAAGTCATTAAAAGGGGGAGCGGAAGTGAAGGGAAATGAGATTCCATTTGCATCTCTATGGTTCGCTTAGTCTTAGACTGTCTGAGCAAATCGCTTTCAAAAAAAAAAAAGGAATCCACACACACCTTCCAATGAATGTCCCCCTCCCCCCCCACCCTTGGACTTATAGGACTCTCCCACCCCCCCACCCCCAAATCAGGAGGGGCGGGGGAGGCTAAGAGCAACGAGAGGGGAAAGCTAAGGAGGCCTCGGGAATTTCATTTGGGANATATGCTGACTCTGTAAACCGCTTAGAGAGGGCTGGAAGCCCTATGAAGCGGTATATAAGTCTCACTGCTATTGCTATTGCTTCAGTCCTTGGCCATCGTCTCTGAACATCCCGAAGGTGGCAGAATTTTAAGCATTTTACAAAATACCAGACTTTTGAGGAAGCGTTTTACAGGAAGGGTCCTGGGTGCTTCTCCGAGCTTCGTTGTTTTCTTGCAGATGTTTAATTACCAAACTAGGTAACATCATCAGTGCTACCAGTGTTATTACTGTACTGTTACAACAGCAATGAGGCTCTTGTCTAGTTGGGTAATGAATTGTCTGCAAGAAAACCACAAAGCACAGAGAGCTCCAAGGACCCCAGAGTCCTCCTCGCCCCCTCCCTTTCTCATTATCCTCCATTCTCCAGCCCCCCCTCCCTTCTAGCATCCTCCTCGTCATCCTCCTTCCTTCCTTCATTATCCTCCTCTCTGAAATTCCTCCCCCACCCCCTTTGTAGCCTGATGTTGTTAACTAGTTGGGTAATGAAACATCTGCAGTTAAAACCACCAAGCTCAGAAAGCATCAAAGACCCCCACCTGCAAATATTCTCCTTTATGGGAACTTTTTACATAGGCTGGAGGAAACCAAGAAACCACAAATACCATTTTTAAATGCTAAAGATCAGAACTGGGGCAGCTGCAGCAGGTTGGAGCCGGGAGGAACAAATGCATTCAGATGAACAGTTTATCTGTGCCCCCCTTAGAAGGCAAAAAACAGCACGCACCCGGGTCTGTCAGAGAACAGGAAGAAACTGGAACTCCTCAGCAAGGCAGACTCAACTCCAGAGTTTCCCTTCAAGCCCTCCTCACAGCACAGGCCTCCAAATGGCTGACCTCTGTTGAGAGCAGCCCAGCCAAACCGAAAAAACCCCATACGGGGAAGCAAAGCCAGTTCCTTAAAGGTACAGAGCGAGCAACTAGGAAGTAGCCTCCAGGAAGAAAAAAAAATCACAAAAATAATACGAAGTGAGGAAGTAGTAGAACAGTGTTTCTCAACCTTGTCAACTTGAAGATGTCCGGACTTCAACTCCCAGAATTCCCCAGCCAGCATTCGCTGGCTGGGGAATTCTGGGAGTTGAAGTCCAGACATCTTCAAGTTGACAAGGTTGAGAAACACTGTAGTAGAAGGCCCTTTTAAAGGCCACCAGCAAAGTCCCAAAGGTGTTTTTTCAAAAGGCAAGTGGACTTTGTTGGTTTTTTTTCCCCTCGAAGACGTTTCCCTTCTCGTCCAAGAAGCTTCTTCAGTTCTTCACTTCTTCGGAACTGAAGAAGCTTCTTGGAAAGAGAAGCGTTTTCAAGGAAAACAGAAAGCCCAGCTGCCTTTGGGACAACCGTGACCCGGGTGACTTGAGAATCTCCACAGACACGAAATATTCAAGTTCCTTATACAGGGCCAGTGTCTTTTTTTTTTTTTCAAAAGGAGTTGCAGCTGATTTCAAAGGTTTTGGAACTCTTGACTTTGAGAGGTTATCAGCGGGACGGACAAGATGATTCACGAAGGTTTGGAGAAGGATTTTTACAACCGGGGGAAAAAACAAATTCCGTTTGCTCTCTGCCACTATCAGTTTATTTCCTAGTTACCTGCAAAACAAAGATCCTTTTTTTCCCCTTGGTGAAGTTCCTTTAATTACAGAGATCCCTTTAAGCAAACCATCCTGACGATGTTCCGGAAGTCTTTAGAAACCAACCTGGCTTCTCTCCCAGGCCTTGGGCTAGGGTGTCTGTGGAGCCCTGGGACACAATTTGCGTGTTTAGATTCATTTTTTTAAAGAAACCTGTTTATCTATTTTACATCTAAGCTTGCAAAGAGTCATTCTGGAGTTGGGTAACTTCTAAATCTTAACAGCGTGGACGGTATCTGTCCTTTGCAAAGCCAGGCTCACCCACAAAATGATAAACGTACTTTGGGAACAGCCGGCGAAAAGTTAATGTATATATTAAGCGCATATTAAAAAGGAGGAAAGGAATGAAAATTATTAAGCTAAAGGCATACGGTATTGTTACGCTCCCCCAGTCTGATGTTTCCTAATGTCTTAAGAGGGCTACTTGGCAAATTCCCAGCCAATGTGGCCAATGAAGGCTGGGCATCATACATGTAGAAACAACATATATGAAGGCACCTGATTGGAGGAACGGTGAAAGGAAACGAAACAGTCAAGCATCTCCTAGCTATTTTTAAATTATTATTTTTTTAATTCACAAAAGCTGCTCAAAGAATCGGTTGTGCTAACGTCAGCATATTGGCTGCAGCAGAAAGAACAAGCCTGCACCGAACAGAAGTTTTCAAAACACACACGATAACTTTCTCGCTAATCTCCATTAAACGTAGCATGTCCCGAGAGGAAAGAATAGACTGGGCATAAAATATGGGTGTGCAAATTCCAAAGAAATACAAAAGGAGACAGGATGCTCCATTTATCTATTTTGCTAGGCTGTCGGCCGAGGTTCCACAAACTCTTTTCTAAGAGTTTCCTATGTATTTTCTAAACAATGCCATGGCAACCGTCGGCAGCTATCTTCCGATATCTTGAAAAGGAAGTCTACGGATGCCATCTATGCACACACACGCAGCCAGGATTCTCATCTGACCGAAAGGCAGGGGCTCTCTCTAAATGGAGCTTGCTCCTAACTGTAATCCTTTTAGTACAAATTAATCCTTCGCCGACTATCCACAGGCTGCATCCTGGTTGCATGAAATCACAAGGGAAGCGGCCAGGTCAGCGTCAGCGAGAACGCATCTAAGGCAGACAGGGTTTTCTTTGTTTGACAGGCAAGTTTCGAGTAGGTACAGTTCAGAAACAACGCGGCCTATCGCACACAGAGGAAAGGCGAAGAAGGGCCTTATTTTTCAGGACAGCCCCCCTGCTCCAAAAACACCGCCCCCTCCCTCGTTTTCCACCAAGTCCATCAGTTTCCTCGCGCTGAGCAGCTTCTCTCCTTTCTCGCGAGTAATAAAGCCTAGATTTTATAAGAGCTGGGAGGCAGAGCGGTGCTGATGCCAGGGGCCCAAAGCCCGACCTATAAAATCCAACTCCAGCACTCCCCAGACGGAGGAACAAGGCAGGGTCCTCGTCAGCCCCTAATAATGGCCAGCTTCTGCCATTTTCCTTCCCTAGTCTGCCTCCCCTTCCCCAACGTAAGCTAGACTCCAACGTCCAGCGGCTCCCAACAAGAAAATGCCTAGAGCGACTGCGGGCGAGAAGGAGCCTTGTTTGAAGTCGAAGCAAGAAATGCAAAGCAAAAAAAATTTTTTTCTTTATTTGCAACTGTGTAAACAATACAAGCCAGCCCAGCGCCACGGAAAGCGGGGCCCAAGTTAAACAAATGCGGAAAGAAAGGCCTCCCCTGTGCACTGCCAGTTTATATAATTTAAACAAAAACAAATGCCGGGGGGGGAAAGAAGAACTGAAATGCCACCTTCAATTAAACAGCCATTTGCCTTCCGCCCAAAAGCAGCTCAGGGCCATCTTAAAAAAAAGAGGCACGGAGTGACCCTTCCCCCCCCCCAACAGCTCCTCACCCGCAGCCTCCGGGAGGCAAAATGGTTGGCTGAGAGGCGGCGGCGGCAGCGTGGCCCTGCAGAAGCCAAGGGGAGGCAAGCCTCGGTTCCGCCAATGAAAAGGGCAGAGGAGGATGGGAGCCATTCCTCCAGGAGCTGCCAGGAGCCATTGAGAGGGTGGCAACGGCCACTCTCTCTCTCCCTCTTGTAGATGCGCTGGGGCGTAACTCTCAACACAGACAATGGCTGGGAGGTGGCAGGGCCGACATCCAGCACAGGCCAGGCTGGGCCGTCGTCGGTGTAACTGTCCTAGGGGCACAGAATTCAGGCTACTGCCCTCCTCCTCCTCGGCTTCTCCAGCCTCCTTCCCTTTCAGGGCGGGCCGTGTCCTTCCAAAGCCTCAGATCACACCAGCCACCTTGCCGGTGGGGTCATCGCCTCCTCCTTCCTGCTGACCAGCTCAAAAACTTTCGGCCGCCTCCCGTCGCAAGCCTGAGGCCCAGCCCGGCCCAGATCCCCAGCCAGGTGGAAGAGGAGGGCTCCGGGGAGGGCACAAAAGCCACCGGAGGCTCGCTCCCCTGCTGACCCTCCCGATCTGGAGGCGGCAGGCGAGGACGCCTTGGCCTGTCGCACCGCCTTCCTTTTATGGCTGCTGCTGCCGCCACCGCCACCACCTCTTCCCTGCGCTCCTGCCAGCTCCGGAGGCCTGCACCACCCAGCCAGCCTGCCTGCCTGCCTAGCGAGCAAAGGCACCTTCTTTCAAACCGAGCTCCCTGATCCCCAGGCCGGGGCTGCCAAACTCAAACAATGGGCAGAGAAACCTGCAGCAGATTTCCCGGCTGGAAGAGGAGGAGGAGCCGAAAAGCACCTCCAGGCTATAAACAAAAGAGGGAGGAAGCAGCCCCAGCTTGCCTGGGTCTACTTGGGAGTAGCTGGCACCCTCCTCCTCCTTTCTCCTCCTCCCAGCCAAGAGGGCCCCAGCCCAGCGTCCCTCCCTCCCTCCCTGGATGAGCGGGCTTGGCTGGGCCTTGGAGGCTGATGGGGGAAGGGGGCTCGGCTGGCAGGGGGGGGGGGAGAGGCGGGGAACACCAGGAGGGGCCCAATGGGCAAAATGGCGCTGGAGGAAAAGAGGCAGCAATCCCAGGCGGGTTGCCATGTTGTCGGCGTCCTGCCCGGTGGGGATGGAAAGCAGCCGGGATAACAGGCGGGGCAGGGATAACGGACGGGCAGGGCCGGAAGGATGAGAGTAAGGAGGGGGGAGGGAGGAAGGAAGAAAGGGAGGTGGAGGGAAGAAGGAAGGAAAGGGGAAGGAGAGAAGGATGGGTGGATGGAAGGGAGTGGAAGGAAGGGAAGAAGGAAAGAAAGGAAAAGGAGGGAGAGAAGGTGGAGGGAAGGGAGAGAGATGTACAGGGAAGAAAAAAGGGAGGCGGGAAGAAAATAAAGGAAAAGGATGGAAGGAAGGTAGACGGAAGGGGAAAAAAAGAAACGGAGAAAGGAGAGGAAAGAAGGGAAAAGCAGGGAAGGGAGAAGGATAGATGGAAGAAAGGAAGGGAGAGACAGAGAGGGGAAAGGAAGAGGGAAAGAAGTAAGGGAAGAAAAGGATAGAAGGAAGGTGGAAGAAAGAAAGGGAGAAGGATAGATGGAGGGAAGAAGGAAAGAAAGAGGGAAGGAAAGAAGGGAAAAGCAGGGAGAGATAGAGAGCAGAAAGAAGGAAGTAGGGAAGGGAGAAGGATAGAAATGAGAGGAAGGGAAGAAGGAAGGAAGGGAGAGAGCTATGGAGGGAAGAAGAGAAGAAAGAAGGAATGAGGCTAGGAAAGAAAGAAAGAAAGAAAGAAAGAAAGAAAGAAAGAAAGGATAGATGGAAGAGGGAAAGAAGGAAAGGGAGAAGGATAGACTGATAGGAATGAGAGCGAGGGAGGGAAGAAGAGAAGAAAGAGGGAAAGAAGGAAGGAGGTTAGGAAAGAAAGAGGAAAAACGAAGGATAGATGGAAGAGGGAAAGAAGGAAAGGGAGAAGGATAGACTGATAGGAATGAGAGCGAGGGAGGGAAGAAGAGAAGAAAGAGGGAAAGAAGGAAGGAGGTTAGGAAAGAGAGGAAAAAAGAAGGATAGATGGAAAGAGGGAAGGAGAGATGGATGGGGATGAGAGGGAAGGAAGGAAGGGAAGGAGGGCCGGTGTCCCCCTCTCCCCCCCTCACTCACCAGCACTGGAGGTGGAAGGCGGCCGGGCAGTGGTCGCAGCACAGAAGGTCGCCGCCCTCCTTGCAGCTGTCGCAGCTGTCGTGGTTCGTGGCGCGGCCGCTGCGCCGTTGGGCGGCCGAGGAGGAGGCGGAGGAGGAGACCGAGGAGGGCTGGTGCTGGTGGTGATGCTGGTGGGGGCCTCCGGCGTGCGGGGCCGCCCCATGCGGGTGCCCAGCGATGCCCGCCGGGGGCACCGAGGGGTTGTGATGGTGGTGGTGGTGATGGTGGTGATGCTGGTGGGGGCCTCCGGCGTGCGGGGCCGCCCCATGCGGGTGCCCAGCGATGCCCGCCGGGGGCACCGAGGGGTTGTGATGGTGGTGGTGGTGATGGTGGTGATGCTGGTGGGGGCCTC